CCTATTCTGTATGTAAGCTGCAGTAGCAACAGCTTCTGCCCAGAATGTGTTTGGCAACTTTGCATGTGACAGCATACTTCTAGCTGATTCCACTAGAGTTCTGTTTTTTCTCTCTGCAACACCATTTTGCTGTGGTGTGTGTGTGGTACAGTGATTTCATGGTGGATGCCTTGAGCTTTCAAATATTCTTGAAACTCTTTAGATGTGTATTCCCCACCATTGTCAGTTTTGAGTCTTATTACTCCCTGTCCACATTCATTTAAGAAGATTCTTTCAAACTCTTTGAACTTGCTGAGGACTTCCGTTTTTCCCTTATAAAATACACTTTACAACATCTGGAGTTGTCATCAATGAAAGTTACAAAGTACTTTTTTCCTCCTAGTGACTCACCACAAACGTCACTATGCACTAATTTCAACTTGCGTTTTGATCGTATTTCTCCCACTGATTTGTAAGGTTTTCTTGATAATTTGCCCTCAACACAAGCTTCACAAAAAATGTCCTCCTCTTCATTTGTAAAGGTAACTTCTTTTACCAAGTTTTTGATTTTTTTCAAATTTGTAGTGTGTAGCAGTTGACGCTCCATGACAAGTTGTGTAGTTTCCCTCAATATCCAGCTGATATAATCCGTCACATCTTTGTGTTCCCATTCTATGGAGAGCTACATTCTTTCCTCTTATGCAGCAATGAGTCTTTTTGAACTTTACTGTGTTTCCCTTCTTGGCAGCAGCTCCCACTGAGAAAAGGTCCAGTGATAATTTGGAAACATACAGCACATCATACATTGTGACATCTTTTCCATCACTAACTCTGAATGACATTTTCATTGTTATAACCTAAAGCCTCAACCACTCTGTCATCACCGAGTTTCACCATTTGTGGTTCTGAAAACTCTTGGTAGTTTTGTAGAGCTTCTTTATTCCATGTCATGTGTTTTGATGCTCCTGAATCAATTAACCATTCCTCTTGCTGTGCATCACTTTTACATGACTCATTTACAACAAAAGCTCCCTCATATGAGTCCTCTTTGTCCTTCTACACTGCGCTTTTAGCCTTGTGGGCTTTATATTTCTTTTTAATGCTTGGACAGTCACACTTGATATGTCCTTCCTTCCCACATTTGTAACATCTCCATGATTCAGAGCTGTTTGCTCCCACTGTTTTTCATCCACTCTGCTCATTTCTATGCATCTGAGATGACATAGCTGATACACTACTGGACACAGTGGTGTTGTCAGTAAGCCGCCGCTTTTGTTCCTCATTTATCAAGGCTTGTTGAACAAACTGTAGTGTCAGACTGTCCATCTTTGTCTCCAAAGCAGTAACAACAGTTGCATAGCTGGCTGGCAAACTACCTAGAAGGGTGACAATTTGAACTTCCTCTTCAATTACAGAACCTATTGCCCCTAGCTGATCAGTAAGTTCCTTCATTCTTTTTTAAATGATCATTGATATGTTCTCCTTCCTTCATTTCACACTGGAAGTACTTCTTCTTCAGAAATAGCTTGTTAGCAACAGTATCTCTTTCAAATTGTGCTTTTAGCATCTCCCATGCTTCTTTGGGGGTCTTTCAGTTTGTTATCAAGGACAATTGGGGTGTACTTACATTCAGTACCAGCACTGAAAATACCTGAAAATAACGTGCTTGGGCATTAGCATCCGTAGCTAACTGCTCTGTCTCCTGTACCATACCCCACAGTCCTTTTGCCCTCAACAGGTGCTCCAGTTGAAATTTCCAAATTGCCCAATTCTCCGGTCCGCTCAGCTTGTCAATAAACAGTCTATCTTCCATTGTGAATCCCACAATGCTGTTTATGACTCACAAAAACAACGTGTTAGCAGCGTCCCTTTGCGACCTCTGGGCCCATAACCTGATGTTTCTAACGAACACCTTGTATTGCATGTAATGCACAGACACACCAAGAGAGGGCAGTAATATCCCTTCAACATACACTGTAAAAGTACTATTACAACATAAAGCATATAAACAATTACAGCAATATAATGCAACAAATACAGCAGTGCTACTAATCCAAAATACTCAAAGCTTCATAGAACTGAAACAAACATTTATTTTTAGCTCCATTCTGCTGCTGATACATACTTTAGGTTTCTGAATATTAAACTTGTTGCTGCCTTTCATAGTGTGTAACTTGAAGGCCCTGAGTACTTTCTCCCACACTGAAAACACTGAAAACACTGGAATGATAAAATTATTTGAACATTACCTAATAAGACTGATTCGGAAAAGACAATTAGTTATGTTAAACTTTTCTAGCAGTCCTTCACAAACAGGGAACAGTCTGTCTATTCTCTCCATCTGTCAGCTGCTGCTGGCTCTTCCTCCTCCTCTTCCTCACACACTGCTGAGTATGTCCTGGTGAATCATCAGGGATGCAAAGCCTCACAGATGATGTGCAGCAGTGGGTCCCTCGGTCTGTCCTCACTCTGGACACTTGCAGTTGTCACACATGGAAATCAAATGTGTGATAAGCTGCAGGATTCAAACACAAGTGTGACTTATAAACACATGTTCATACTTTTATTACACAATCAGAGAGAAAGAAAAAGAGAGAGAGTGCAGGACAGACAGACAGGTGACAGTCTCAGGTGTACACACTGCTACAAAACAGCACAAGAGAAGGAGGATATAGTGTTTGTGTTATTACGAGTGCTAAACAAGAAGAGTTCCCAGATGGTACAGTGGACACATGTGTGACTCCTGTGATTAAAGCATCTTTCTTTCAGCTTAACGAGTGAACCGTCAGCTCGTTCAAACACACGTTAAAGTCCGTTTGGCTCGACACCACCGAACAGAGGCAGCAAAATAACATAACTAACATTAACAGTGCAGTGAATCCTGCTTGTGCCGTCATATTCAGGACTGCAAACTGAACAGCATTCACTGACTTTTAGCTTGTTGTGTTTGTGGATATATTCCTGACTATTACTGACCTCTCACCTGGGAAAGCCTTAGAGTTTAATTTATAAACCTCCAACATTTTCCTGGGAACAAAGATGTGCATGATACTCTTGCAGAAAAACAGTTCAGTTAATTGTGCTTTGGTTAACGGATAGCAGACACAACCGACAACAGACCACAAAAACACCTGAGCAAAAGATTAGAGGGACACACAGAGAGAAGCAGTCCCTCAGCTTACTGTAAAGAGTTTTGCTTAACCTTATGTCATTTCTCTATCACTTATCTTGAACCTGCCTTTACTTTTACTTCTCTCACTCGTGCTAATCAACTCTCTGAGTTTTTCTTTTCTTGGACTGTGTCTGTTTTTTTTTTTTCAATTGCAGGAGCCCAGTGTTTCTTTTTATTTGCTCTGTGACTTAATGTCAGTTGGGCTGCACACGATAGAATAGAATAGAAACTACAATGTTAACTTTAGGGAAAGGAAATGGTAAAGTCTGACTTTTGCACAATCATCAATGAAAAATGTTTTATACTCTTCAGCAGGGCAAGATGAACCAGAGAAGCCAGAACTCAGGATTTTGCTTCTTGGAAAAACTGGAGTTGGAAAGAGTGCTTCAGGAAACACCATCCTAGGAAAAGGGAATGCTTTTGATCTGACATCATCAGAGTGTCAGAAGGAAACAGGAGAGTTTGAAGGTCAAAAACTGGCTGTAGTTGATTCTCCAGGTCTGTGTGACTCCAGTAAAACTGAAGAGGAGTTAACAGCAGAGATGGAGAGAGCCATCAACTTTGCTGCTCCTGGTCCTAATGTGTTCCTGGTTGTGATTCAGGCCAACAGATTCATAGAAGAAGATCAAGAAACAGTGAAAATAGTTCAGAAGATGTTTGGAAAAAAGTCAGCATGTTCCACATTAGTTTTGTTCACCTATGGAGATGACCTGAAGTCAGATGGAGACACCATAGAAGGATTAATCAGTAAAATTCCAGCTCTCAGTGGCTTCATCCGTCAGTGTGGTGGAGGATATCACCTCTTTAACAACAGAGACACGGATCCCTCTCAGGTCAGAGAGCTGCTGAAGAAGATCAACACCATGTTTCAGACAAATGCTGGACGATACTACACCATTGAAATGTTCAGAGAGGCTGACCTTCGGATTGTTCTTATTGGGAAAACTGGAGCTGGGAAGAGTGCATCAGGGAACACCATCTTGGGAGAAAAAGCTTTTAAATCCTTAACATCAATGTCATCAGTTACGTCAGTGTGTCAAAAGGAAACAGGTCTGTTTGATGGTCAAAAACTGGCTGTAATTGATACTCCAGGTTTATTTGACACCGAAAAATCTGAAGAGAAGGTGAAGGAAGAGATCAGTAGCTGCATCCCCCTTGCTGCTCCTGGTCCTCATGTGTTCCTGGTTGTGATTCAGGCCAACAGATTCACAAAAGAAGAACAAGGAACTGTCAAAATCATTCAGAATATGTTTGGAGAACAGTCAGCATGTTACACTATGGCCTTGTTCACCTACGGAGACAATCTGGAGAGAGATGGAATGATCATAGAAAATGTGATCCATGCTCATCAAACTCTCTCTGACTTGTTTGTCAGTCAGTGCGGTGGAGGATATCATGTTTTTAACAACACAGACAAAAATCCCTCTCAGGTCAGAGAGCTGCTGAAGAAGATCAACACAATGATTGAGAGAAATGGAGGAGGATACTACACCAATGAAATGTTCAGAGAAGCTCAGAGAGCCATGAACAAACCAGAAGCCGACCTCAGGATTGTTCTTGTTGGGAAAACCAGAGTTGGGAAGAGTGCAGCAGGAAACAGCATCTTACGGGGAAAAGTATTTAGATCAACATCTTCCTCTTCCTCTGAAACATCAGAGTGTCAGAAGGAAACGTCTCTCTTTGAAGGTAAAACAGTGGCTGTAATTGATACTCCAGGTCTGTATGAAACTAAACTAACTAAAGAGGAGGTGAAGAGAGAGATTGTTAGATGCATGTCCTTTGCTGCTCCTGGTCCTCATGTGTTCCTGGTTGTGATCCAACCAAACAGATTCACCAAAGAAGAACAAAAAACTGTGAAAATCATTCAGGAGATATTTGGTAAAAAAGCAGGTGATTACACGATGGCCTTGGTAATCCATGAAGATGATGAGAATAAAGACACCATAGAAGAAGCAATCAAACATCCAGATCTCAATGACTTAATTAGTCAGTGCCGTGGAGGATATCATCTTTTTAACAGCAAAAACAACGATCGCTCTAAGGTCAGAGAGCTGCTGAAGAAAATCGACACAATGATTGAGAGAAATAGAGGATACTGCTACACCACCAAAATGTTTGAAAAGGTGGAGAAAGTCATAAAAACAGAGATGGAACAACTTCGGAAAGAAAACCCAGAGATGTCGGCCAAAGAAGCAAAATACAAAGCAGAAAGAAGGAACAAAGTTACTAGAGGAAACTGGAATGATGTTATTGCTGGAGCTGCTGCTGAAGTTGATGATGAAGGTATAGCTATTGTTTGTATTGGGGTTATTGTTGCTGGTGGTGTGTTAAATCCTAAATTTTTTCAACTTCAAGATGATTTTGCAGCTGGAGTTGGAGCTAATCATCTAAATGGAGCACAAGCTCAAGGATTAGTAGGAACTGTAGCAGGAGCCGCAGCAGGATGTGTAGCAGGTCTGGGAGTTATTTCTGCAACAAAAGCTGTAACTTTGAAATTGAAATTGTGGGATTGTTATACACAGTAATATTCAGTGGAAAATCAGCATTTATCAGCAGAATGTAAGAACATAGATGAAAATAGTAACAGTTATAGTGTGGACCTATTTTTTTGAGTATTGTTTGAGAAAGAGAATTTTATACATATGATACCCAAAGAATAAATGCACAAAGCTGAAAGAAACCATTAATTTCTTTGGGACAGCGTGAGAGTTTTCTTTATACAGTAATACTGATCATTTAGCAGTAACTTATTAAGGACAAATTATCATTAAGAAATAAGAAAATAATCACACTCCATTGTAGTGTCTTTGTTTGTTATTGTCTTTGTAATTCTCATTTTTGTTTATTGTTTTTTATTTTTCGTATAAAAACAATAATTTGTAATAACAGCATAGTTTTGTAAGCTTACTAAATAGGAACATGTTAATCATTACTGATTATTATCTTACTTGTAATGATTTGGGGAATTTTGAATTCTAGTCTAAACCAATCAGTCTGTCAGATTATGTACAATGTGTTTTGAGGCTGCGGTCTCACATTTAGTTTAATCTCTTGACTAATGTATCGTGAATAAAACAGATTAAATTTATCGATGAAAGTTGCTTTCTTTTTTTCTTTTCTAACGAAGTAACCTGGAGTGAACCAGTTTCCCGTGAAGAAGATTCACTGACATGTTTGACCTGATCAAATTGTGATGTTAAAGAACAGCAGTGTTTTCTCCACTGTGTCAAGCAGATTGTTATTCAGTAATTAGATGGAACAAATGAAAAAGGTAACAATTAAGTGGAGATAATCTGCAGATAGGGGCAGGGCTGTACTGGGACAAAGAATCAGCCCAGGCATTTTGACTAGAGACCGGCCCATCAGGTATTATAGGAAAAGCCATAAAGCCTTTGAATGAAAACAAACGTTGTTGTCACAGTGATGTACACGGTCTTGTTGGTATATATGTATCAATCTAATAAACTTAAACCTACATCATCCTCCCTATTCTGGTACTCTAAATAGTACTTAGCCCAAACCCAAAGACTGCTTGGTCGAGCTAACCTGAACTATCTACAACACATGGTGGAAACCTGAAGTTAAGACAGAGAAGACTAGAGGTGAGACATGATCATTACTGAATGTTAAAATACTTACTCCCTCGAATCTTTCTGCTACTGAAATCCCCATAACTGACCACTTCCTCCTTTCATTTAACCTCACTCTCTGCTGCTCTTCTACCAAGCCAACCCGTCTCATCTCGTTCCGCAACATCAAGAACATTGATATGGACATTCTCACTACCAGTTTGGACAATG